AAAACCCCTCAGATGTTTCCTGGCTGAGGCAGGCGTGTGGGGTTTGGGGATTTGGTGGATTTCAGGTGTGGAATTAGGGAATTGTGTGGGTTCTAAGTGTGGATTTTGGGGATCCTGTGGATTCCAGGTGTGGATTTTGGGGATTCTGTGGATTCCAGGTGTGGATTTTGGGGATCCTGTGGATTCCAGGTGTGGATTTTGGGGATCCTGTGGGTTCCAGGTGTGGATTTTGGGGATCCTGTGGGTTCCAGGTGTGGATTTTGGGGATTCCGCAGGTGCCGGGGCTCACCGTGACGATGTCCTGGCTGAGGACGCCTTTGACGCTGCCGGTGCCGTAGCGGATGGCGAAGCCGGTGCCGTTGGCGATGTAGGTGCGCGACTTGGAGGAGTCGTAGCGGCTGTGGGACACTGAGGACAGGGAAAAGGGACATCCCAGAGGGGCACAGAGCATCTCTGTCCCCCCTAAAATCCCCTGCGGGGTGTAATGGGCCCACCCCACCTCAATGCCAGGGGTCTGGACACCAACAGAGACCCCCCCCCAGCCCTCTCTGAGCAGCCCAGGGGACTCGCTGAGGTTTTGGGGGGTCGCCCCCAGCCCCGGCCGTGCCCCCCTACTCACCACAGGCGCTGTAGAGGGGGGAGCACTTGTAGGATGGCACCCACAGATTGGCCGAGCCCGTGTCAAAGACCACCTTGAAGGTCTGCGCGGGGGTCCCGATGCTGATCTCGCCGAAATATTGGGTCTGGGGGGGACGGGGAGCATCCCTGGGGCACAGCTCGGGCGGGAAAGCACCCGCACCGAGCCCAGCTGGGGCTACCGGGTGACATCGGGGGTGACAAACCCTCCACTCACATCCAGGTAGTTGGTGAGGAGGGTGGGAGCTGTCCCGTTGCGGGGACCGTCCCCTCCTCCGCGTGTGCCCCGGCGCAGCTCCGGGAACACCTCCCGCACCTTCACCCCCATCTCCTGCAGCGTCTGGCGGATGGAGGGCATCCTCCGCAGGGCGATCCTGGGGGGATTGCACAGAGCTGGGGATCCCCCCCCGAGCCCCCCGGCAGCCTCCAGCGGCGTTCCCAGCCTCGGGAGCTCCAGCCGGGCGGCTCTAGATGGCAGCAGCTCCCCGCCGCTCCCCCGTGGGTCCCGCTCCCAGCCCGAGCCCACCCAGCGTGGGGAGCCCCAGGTGGGTGGGGGCGGCACCCACAGACCCCGAGCCCGGCCCCAAACCCGGTTATTTGGGATTCCCAAATTCTTTAGGTTGGGAAAATCCCCCGCGGGCTCGTGGAGCAGCACCGTGACCATGCGGGGCTCGAGGGAGAGGAGTGAGGAAGAGCAGGAGAGGAGGAGGAGGAGGAGGAGGAGGAAGGGGATGAAGCAGCAAAGCCCCTCATCCTCCTCACCCGGCCCCGGGAATAAAAGGGTGGGACAGCCCCGTGAGGACCACACGAGCTCGGGCTACCTCTGCAAAGCCTGGGCTGGCCAGGGGACAAAAGTGGCGCCCCAGGTGAGGGCCAGGAGCAGCAGGGACCGCTGCAGCCTCCGGCTGGCTCCCGCCGCCATCGCGTCCCCCGCTGTCACCGCCCGTGCCGGCAGCTCCGTCCCGTCCCATCCCGGCGGGGAGGAAGCTTTTATAGCCCGGGATCCTCCATCCGGGCTGGATTCTCCTCCCCTGGCAGGGGCAGGGCTGGGAATGCCATGGATAACACCGGGAAGGTTGGGAATGCCATGGAGAACTCTGGGGAGGTTGGGAATGCCATGGAGAACCCTGGGGAGGTTGGGAATGCCATGGATAGCACCGGGAAGGTTGGGAATGCCATGGAGAACTCTGGGAAGGTTGGGAATGCCATGGAGAACCCTGGGGAGGTTGGGAATGCCATGGATAGCCCTGGGAAGGTTGGGAATGCCATGGATAGCCCTGGGAAGGTTGGGAATGCCATGGAGAACTTGGGCAGGTTGGGAATGCCATGGATAGCCCTGGGAAGGTTGGGAATGCCATGGAGAACTTGGGCAGGTTGGGAATGCCATGGAGAACTCTGGGAAGATTGGGACAGTCCCCAGGGAGGGTGGCACAGCCAGAACCTCCCCCCCCACGTGCCCAGTGGGAATGGGACAAGGGGAGCTGCGGATATTTGGGAGATGGGATCCCACGTTCCTCGGAGCTGAGGAATCACTCCACGGAGTGTGAGGGACACGAATCCCTGCTGGGTGCTGGCACAGGTCTGGGTGCCATCCTGGCCGAGGAGATGTCCCCAAACTCCAGCTGCAGGGGAATGACGGGATTCTCCCCAAGGGAATGGGGACGGCAAGGGACACTCGGCCCTGTTGGCCATGGAGACACCGAGCGAAGACCCCCTCGCCCCCTCTGCCCTTTTGGGGGATGTGCTGGGGAGCCCCCCCAGCCCCAGCTCCGTTAAACCAAGGCTGGTGCTTGGAGCAGAGAACCGCCAAACTCATCACAGCTGCTCCATTTGGGATCAGATCCTGGCGTTTGGGAAGGGAGACGCTGCTCGAATCCCTCAGGAGCCTCCAGCTGCGCCCCCGCCCCTCCCCAGGTCGCCGTGTCCCCCCCTGGCAGTGTCCAGCCCGGGGTGGGAGGTGCTGGATCAGCCCCGTGGCTCCCAGGGTCTCCTGACCTCGGGAATCTCGGTGGGAAGTGACTGCAAAGGCAATAAAAATGTTCTTGGATGAACCCCGAGGACACATTCACCCCCAGCCCCACAATCACCCTCTCGTTCATGGGATTTGTCACCCCAGTCCCGGGGACACCCCATAAAACTCCAAACAACTTTCCCCTCAAACCCGGGGCTTCAGCGCCTCATTCCCGGTGGGATTTCGCTGCCAGGGCACTGCTGACCCCGGCAGACCCCAGGGCTCAGCCCCACGGGGCTCTGCCCCATCCCTGACGTCTTTTCCCACGCAGGACCCGTGTCCCTGCGTCACTCCGGGGAGCCTCGTGGCCCTGCACAGGTTGCGGGGAGGGAGCGGGGTCAGGAGCCGCAGGGCCTGGCAGGGATCCCGCGGCCATAAATCCCTGCCCGGGCATCCCGCGGGCTCTGCCGGCTTTGCCAAGCTCCGCTCCCCGCTGGAAAAGCCGCGGGGGAGGCAGCACTTCAAAGGAAAAAGGGGTCCCGGGATGTGGGGCCGTGGGGATCCCACGTTTCCAGCCCCTTCTGATCCAGGGCAGCCACATCTGCAGGATCCCTGAGGATTTGGGATGTTCTGGGCACGGCTTTGTCCCATCAGGCACAGCTGGACCCCTCTCCTGCGGGGAATCCAGAGGGGGATAAGCTGGGAAATGCTGTGGGATGGGGGACAACCCTTCCCTGCCACTGGGATGGTCCCAAAACCCCCTTTGGATGGGAAACGGGGAAAAGCGACTTCCCCAAATCCACCAGAGAGCCAAGGGCTGCTGCCTTGGGGTGGCCACTGGGGCGGCTGTCCCAGCTCCAGGAATCTGGGGACACCTTCCCAGTGCCAGGAAACCCCCAAAAGGAATTTCCCAGACTCCTCTGCCAACCTGGAGCCAAAGCTGGGATGGAAAAGGTTTAAAAAACCTGGAAAAGTGGTTTTGTGGGGGGTTAGAAGGACAGGGACACAGGGGAGAAGGGGACAGGGACATCAGACAGCTCTGGGACATCACTGGGTTCATTCCCGACCTTTCAGATTCACAGGGAAGATCCTGAACTCTTCCCAAGAAGCCCAAAAACATCCTTGAACTTGAATTTTCAACCACAGAATATTCCAGGGTGTCAGGGAAAGGCAGAAGTGGATCCATGTGAGGAACCTGCTGCAGTTTTCCACAAAATCCCAGGGTTTTATTCGATTACGGAGCCCATCAAGAGCAGCTCCTCTGGAAATATCAAGGAATTGTTCCCCAGTCATTTTCCTGCTTGTTTTTCAGGGAGAATGGAAGGAAAACCTTTCCCAGAGAGGAACAATCGCCTTCCCAATGGATAAATTCGTTCCTCTCTCCTGTCAAGCTGAGTGGGTGCTTTCCTTAAAATAAAATCTGAATTTTTTAGCTCTTCCAGCTCCAAACAAAAATCACTGGGAAGTTTGGCTGAGCAGCTCGGATTTCTTGAGGGATTTTTTTTTGGAGCAGCACAGAGAAAAGGAGGTGAATTTCTGCTCTTCCCTGGCATTTTCCAGCTTTCCTAATCCCGGTTTTTACTGGCTGTGAAAACACAGGAGGCTCGTGAGGATCCTCATTCCGGGTGACCGAAAAGCTCCGGGGTAAAAACAACTTTTGGGAAGGGCTTAGGGGAGGCTCTGGATGGCAGTGGCACCAGGGGAATTCGGGGATTGACGTCAGGGCAAACCCGGAGCTTGTGCCTGAACCCAAAACCCTGCCAGAGAGAGGATTTACGGAGCCAGGGGGAAAACATTCCCAGCAAAAATCTTCTGGAGAGGAGCTCCAGCTGAGGGAGCTCCCAGCCATTCCCTGCGGATATTCCAAGCCTGGAAAAGCTGTGGCTGCTCCATGGAAGTGTTGGAGCAACCTGGGATAAGGGAAAGTGGCCCAAGTGGGATGGGATGGGCTTTAAGATCCCTAAAATCCCAAATCCTTCCATGGTTCTGTGATCCCTCAATGCCATCCAGGGAATCTCCTCATCCTTGGTTTGGTTTTCCCAGCAGGGAGAGGTGACGGCACCTCCCAGCACCTGGGCACATTTCCTGCTCCTCCACAGTGGCTTCCACAGGGATGGGAGCCCTAAACCTCGGGAATCTCCTCATCCTGCACACGCTGCCTCTGGGAATCTTCCTCTTCCTCCTGGTGGAGGCCTCAAAATGAATCCTCACCAGGAAAAGTTGGGAATTTTCAGCTGGAGCAAAGCAACAGAGGAACGGAGGCACTGAGGAGATTCCAAGCCTCCAAATTCCTGCCAGGAATCTCATTTCCCCTTCCTGCTGCCATCAAAGCACACAAGAACTGGGATCCCCTTCCCGGAGCTGGGATTTGGGTGCCCAAACGAGCCCAGAGCTGCTCCCAGCCCTGGTTTCACCTGGAGCACAGCTGGGCTGGTGACAACGGGCATGACTGGGTGACAACGGGCACGGCCAGGTGACAACGGGCATGGCCAGGTGACAGCAGGCATAGCCAGGTGACAACAGGCATGACCGGGTGACAACGGGCACGGCCAGGTGACAACAGGCACAGCCAGGTGACAACAGGCACGGCCAGGTGACAACAGGCATGACCGGGTGACAACGGGCATGGCCAGGTGACAACAGGTATGGGCAGGTGACAACAGGCATGACCGGGTGACAACGGGCATGGCCAGGTGACAACAGGCACGGCCAGGTGACAACAGGCATGGCCAGCTGACAACGGGCACGGTCAGGTGACAACAGGTATGAGCAGGTGACAACAGGCATGACCGGGTGACAACAAGCACGGCCAGGTGACAACAGACATGGACAGCTGACAACGAGCATGGCCGGGTGACAACAGGTATGGGCAGGTGACAACAGGCATGACCACATGACAATGGGCATGGCTAGGTGACAACAGGCACAACCAGGTGACAAGGGGCACAGGCAGTTGACAACAGGCACAGCCAGGTGACAACAGGCGCAGCCAGGTGACAATGGGGATGTCCAGGTGACAACAGGCACAGAGCCGCCATCTCCCGTCGGGCTCCGGAGGGAACAGGTTCAGCTCCAAGACGTTAATTAATTCCTGCTCGTTAAGGAGGGCTCTCTGCGCGGGGAGCAGCTTTGATGTGATTGCTTTTGGGTTTAATTAAACTCCAGCCTCCCGAGCGCTGCTGGAAACCTGGCTGGGATCCAGCGCAGCCCGGGGAGATGCCGAGGTACCCAACCGGCTCTCCTGGGGAGAGGAATTCCGGCAGCCTGGGAGGAAGAACTCCCTTAAATTCACCTGAGGTGATGCTGGGGGAGCTCCTGCCCCGGGAATGTCCCTGTGCCATCTCCAGCCATGGGAGTGTCCCTGTGCCACCTCCAGCCATGGGAGTGTCCCTGTGCCATCTCCAGCCATGGGAATGTCCCCATGCCATCTCCAGCCATGGGAATGTCCCCGTGCCATCTCCAGCCATGGGAGTGTCCCTGTGCCACCTCCAGCCATGGGAATGTCCCCATGCCATCTCCAGCCATGGGAATGTCCCTGTGCCATCTCCAGCCATGGGAATGTCCCCGTGCCATCTCCAGCCATGGGAATGTCCCCGTGCCACCTCCAGCCATGGGAGTGTCCCCGTGCCATCTCCTGCCCCGGGAATGTCCCCATGCCATCTCCAGCCATGGGAATGTCCCTATGCCATCTCCAGCCATGGGAATGTCCCTATGCCATCTCCAGCCATGGGAATATCCCCATGCCATCTCCTGCCCCGGGAATGTCCCCGTGCCATCTCCAGCCATGGGAGTGTCCCCGTGCCATCTCCAGCCATGGGAATGTCCCCGTGCCACCCTGTGCCACCTCCAGCCATGGCCACGATGCCTCCTGGCCACGATGCCTCCTGGTGAAATCGGGGGGTGCAGTGCTGGGACAAGCCCTAAGCCATGGGAAAGGAGCCGAGTCTGGGCTCGCTCTCACACTTTTTTTTTTTTATTAAATTAAATCTCTCACAGAAAAAAATATTAAATAACTGCAAGAATTCCAGAATCCAGCCTGGTACAGCCCTCAGACCTCGGAGTCTGGCTCAGGAGCTCTGTGGGACAGGGAGGGGACACCGTCCCTGCTTGGGGGTGGCTCTGGCCAGCACTGAGGGTCTTGGGGACAAGAGAGTCACCAGCTCTTGGGGACAGCCCAACCTGGGGCTCTCTCAGCCTGTCCCATCGCAGCCGCTCGGCCCAGGGCTGGCCAGGTCACACCATGGAGCCGCTGTCCCCCATTTTCTGCAGGAGCTGCGACAGGGACAGAGCAGGGTTAGTGGAAAAACTCACCCGAGCAGCTCTGGGGACACCACAGTGGCATTTCCTGTGCAAATCCATGGGGATGGATCCCGGCCAGGGATTGAGGGTCCCAAGGGGTCCCCAGCCCTTTCTCACCTGGCTCAGCAGGGGGATGTTTGCCAGCGAGCCCAGGAACCCGAAAGCCACCGGGAAGAAGCTCCTGTGTGGACACAAAAGGCTCTGCTGAGCTCCGGGGAGCATCCTCCAAACCCAGGCTGCAGCTTGAGGATCCCATCCAAGGATCCCATCCTGAGAATCCCATCCTAGGGATCTCATCCCAAGGATCCCATCCTGAGGATCTCATCCCGAGGATCCCATCCTGAGGATCCCATCCCAGGGACCTCATCCTGAGGATCCCATCCCGAGGATCCCATCCTGAGGATCTCATCCTGAGGATCTCATCCTGAGGATCCCATCCCAAGGATCCCATCCCAAGGATCCCATCCTGAGGATCCCATCCCAAGGATCCCATCCCAAGTTTCCCATCCCAAGGATCCCATCCTGAGGATCCTATCCAAAGGATCCCATCCCAAGTTTCCCATCCTGAGGATCCCATCCCAAGGATCCCATCCTGAGAATCCCATCCAAGGATCCTATCCCAAGGATCCCATCCCAAGTTTCCCATCCCGAGGATCCCATCCCGAGGATCCCATCCTGCACCTGAAGAGGGAGATGAATCCGTAGGCCTCCAGCAGCATCCCCAGGATCGGCCACCGCATGAGGACCACGATGAGCCCCCCGAAGAAGAAGCTGGTGCCCTTCAGCTTGGACCGCTGGAAGAAGAAGGTGAAGGTCCTCCGGAAGCCAATGATGAAGACCAAGCCGGAGAGGAAGAGGAGCTGGGAGGAGGGAGGGGACAGGGTCAGCGCAGCTCTTTGTCCCGGCTGTGGGGACGCCCAGCCCGGCCCTACTCACGTTCCCAAAAGCCAGGAGCACCGAGTCAAAGTACAGGAGGATCCCAAAGAGGAGGAAGAAGAGGCCGAAGCCGACCAGGCCCACTCCGATCCCTGTGGAAAACGGGAGAGCAGGGGCAAAGGCTCGGCTCCACACCCCGGCTCCCAGCACCTCCCTATCCCATTCCTTCCCAAAAAATACCCTTTGGATTTTTCCCCAGACCTCAGGAACAGCCTTGGCACCCAGGCCAGGCCTGGAGGAGGCCCCAGAAACCCCCGAGGGCACCGGATAAATCAGGAACCACAAAGGATAGATCACCAGGAAAACCCCATCCAGCCTTTCCCTTTTCCCTTTCCTCCAGGAAAGGCTGGAGACGATCCCTGGATGATCCTGGAAAACCTCCCCACCCCCAGCCCATCCCCTTCTCCATCCCACCCCTCCCTGCCCCAAACACCCCATCCAGATGGGACTGGGAGCTGCCGAACGTCCCCACGGAGCTCCCAGATCTCGCAGGACGGGAATTCCAGCTGGGACAGGAATTCCCGCCGGGACACGGCCACCCCATGCCTGCTTACGCTGGAAGTCGCTCAGGGACACCATCTTGGCGGTGACGGGGCCGGGCGAGGCCGGGCAAGGGCCACTGCCAGAGTGACCCTTGGAAAAGCCCTTTAGTCCCCACGTCATCCTGGGAATCATTAACGGCCCCAGGAACGCCCACGGCGCCACCGCCGGGGGACACGGTGGCTTCAGGGGACACATGGTGGCCTCAGAGGACACACAGGGGCTTCAGGGGACACACGGTGGCTTCAGGGGACATGGTGGCCTCAGGGGACATGGTGGCTCCAAAAGGGACATGGTGGCTGCAGGGGGGACACGGTGGCTCCAGAGGGGCATGATGGTTCTGTAGGGACATGGTGGCTCTGGAGGGGACACAGTGGCTCCAAAAGGGACACGGTGGCTCCAAAAGGGACATGGTGGCTTCAGGGGGACATGGTGGCTCATGGTGGAATGAGTTGACTGGGATGGGAAGGGATGGGATGGATCCCTAAAATAGAGAAAAACAGGGAGATTGTGGCTTCCTTGGGGTGGCCGAGTGGCACTGAGGGGACGGCAGAGGTCCCTGCAGTGTCCCCAGGAGTCCACGTGCATTCCCATGGATCCCATGGATCCCAGGCTGCTCCATGGCAGGGTTTTGGGAATGCCGAGGTTCCCGGGATTTCCTGGTAGGTGTGGGAATACCGGCTCCCCCAAAGACAGCACAGGGTCCCCGTGTCACCTCTGTCACCCCAGAGCCACCCAAACCCAGCCATTCCCAAAATTTACCCCACAAACAGCCCCGGGATGGGAATTTTATCCCTTCACAAGCACCAAAACCAACCCTGGTGGGAAAACAAATCCCAAAAAAACAGGGAGAGGGAGGAGGCGCTGCCTCTGGAGCCCCAGCACCCCCTGCTTCTCCAACCCAACATTTAAATCCATATCAAAACTCACCCCAGGAAAAGAAAACAAACAGGAAAACATTGTTTTTTCATAGATATTTTTATTTCTCTACCGCTAGGAAAATATCCCAGAAAACCAAATCCCTCCCGTCCCACCCTCCCCGAATGCATAAATAGATTTATTTCCTCCCGATGCAAATCCTTCCCGGGTTAACAAGTCACTGCTTTATGAAGTGTTTATGAAAAATAATAACCAAAATAAAATTAATTAATTAAGGTTTCCTTTTATTATTATTATTATTTAAAATAAAATAAAATCGCAGCCGGGTCAGGCCCTGGGGACAGCAGCCCGTGGCTTTGGGAAGGGTGGAATGGGAGCTTTGGGATGCTCCTCATCCTCTCTGGATCCTGGAGATGGGAATTGCTGCCCCACAGCCACCCCGGGATGTCCCCAAGGTGTCCCCAGAGTAAGGGGGTGGGGGGTCTGCCCCAGTGACCCGAAAGGGGACACAGGGAAAATAAACTCATCCTCTCTTCAAACTTACAGTCTCTGTATATTTTATTTTAAATAAATTTGCTTTTAATAAAAGCAGAAAAAATAGATATATATTTTTAAATAGGTTTTTTTTCCTTTTTTTTTTTCCTTCTTTTTTTTTATTTTTTATTTTTTATTTTTATTATTATTATTATTTCCTCCCCCCTCTGATAAATTGGCAAAGAATCTTTTTTTTGTTGTTGTTGTTGGCAGGGCTGGCGCCAACAAATCCTGCGGAGAAGAGAGAGCTCATCACGAGCTTTTTTTTCCCGGGAAAAGAAGAGGAAAACCAAATATAGATATATATTATAAATGTAGAATTTCCATCAAACATATATTAAGGCATGTAAATAGCAAAATAAAGGGCCAGCTTTATGAGCTAAAGGGGCTGAGGGAGGCTGGGGAAGCGGGATTTAGGGCTCCAGGGATCCTACAAGTATTGCTAAGTTGGGATTGGGATGCAGGGAGGTCCTGGGGGGGGGTTTGGGATCGGGCCAGGAGGGACGGATGGGATTTGGGATTTGGGATCCAGCTCCTGGCTCCGTCCTCCCTGCCACCCTCACATCCTTCCAGGGATTCTGCTTTTATCCCACCCGCCAGGATGATAAAGAAAAGGGGAATTTGCTACAGGAGATCCGAACCGCTGGAAGGGGCTGGAGAGCCGCGGGAAGGGATTTTTGGAGGGTGACAGCGGGACGGGGGCAGCCCAGGTGACCCTGCTGTCCCCAAACCCCTCCTCAGCACCTTCCTCACCCCCCAGAGGGGGGTCCTTGCCGACCCCACAGCTCCGTTATCCCACCTGGCGCCCCAATTCCCTGCTCTGCTCCCATCCAACGTCCCCATCCCTGCCCAGAGCTCCCACCCCGCTCTCGGAGAGCCCTTGGGGCGCCCTGGGCACCTCCGTGTCCCCCCGGAGCCACCTCCACCCGTCCTGTCCCCTTCTTCCTCCGGCTGAGCCAGCGGTGGTGGCACAGACGGGTTCCAAAATCGGGATCAGAGCTCAGGGAAGGGAAAGGGCGCCCGAGGGGCCTGGGAGGAGCACCCAGCTCCGCTGGAAGGTGGGAGCACCACCCGTGGCGGGGACAGGCGGGTCCCCACGCCAAGAGCCCCTTCACAGACCTCGGGGGGCCGTGCCAGGAGTCCTGCGCTCGCCGCTGGGCCGGTGGC